ACTCGGTACATACACACACTCGCACACACTCACTCTTACACACACACACCGCACACTCACTCTTACACACTCACACTCACTCTTACACACACACACACTCACACACTCACTCGGTACATACACACACTCGCACACACTACACACACTCACACACTCACTCGGTACACTCACACACTCGCACACACTCACTTTTACACACACACTCGCACACACTCACTCTTACACACTCACACACTCACTCGGTACACTCACACACTCGCACACACTCACTTTTACACACACTCGCACTTACACACACACACTCGCACACACTCACTCTTACACACTCACACTCACTCACGCACGCACACACGTGCACACACTCATATACTCACACACACCGCACACACTCGCTCACGCACGCACGCACGCACTCACACACACACTCACTCACGCATTCACACACACACACACACACACACACACTCACTCTCACACACACGCACGCACGCACACACACACTCACACTCACACTCACACACTGGTGCTGGTGGAAACTGGTGCATAAACAAAAAAATGAATGCAGGACTACAGACTGAGGCTCAAACAGTAGATCATGGGTTTGATTCCCAGGGAATGCATGAACTGATCAAATGTGTAGCTTAAATACAATGTAAGGAGGAAAGCGTCTGCAAGATGCATGAATGTAAGCACAAACTAGATAGATAGACAAACTTTAAGTTGGCTTGAGAAAGCCTGAACAGAAAGTTAAAAAAGTTGTAAAAGTTTAATGGTGAGATAGATATACAGATAGATAGATAGATAGAATGGAAGCTTAAATTCATATGGCTTAGAAACATTGCTAAGATATTCAGGATGGTTGCTAGGGTGTTCCTATGCTGTTGCTAGGGTACTTGATGTGGTTGCTAGGGTGTTGCTAAGGTACTCTGGGTGGTTTCTAAGGTGTTGCTAGGGTACCTGAGGTAGTTGCTAGGGTGTTGCTATGTGGTTGCTAGGGTACCTGAGGTGGTTGCTAGGGTACTCTGGGTTGTTGCTATGGTGTTGGTATGCGGTTGCATATGCGACTACATCACATTTAAAGTATTTCACCCAACATGAGAAGTCTTTAAATGGCCATTTCACCCAAAAATGAAAGTTCTGTCATCATTCACTCTACCTCAACTTGTTCTAAACCTGTATGAGTTTCTTTCCTGCGCTGAACACAAAAGAAGATATTTTGAACACAATTATAGCTGCATTATTTATCCAGTTGGCTCTATAATATACAGAAGCAGAAAACAGAAATAAGCGAGTATTTTCTTTATAGGTCAAACCTGAAAAAATGGCACCATCTGGTAAAAAATTGTTAAAAAATAAAAATTTTAAAGCCTTGCCAATATAATGAAAGCCTATCAACAACAATTGCATAATTTTACAGTTAAATAGCACTGCGATTAAAAATAGCCTTTTCAATGGGGACATTTTTGTCCTTAAGGTCCTGAGAGGAACTATTTTTTGTACCTAGTGCAAAACAGATTTATTAAAGGAAATGGAAGTGAAATAGTAAAATTCCAATAAAAATACACACCTGTGCCAAAATTTATGCAGTTGGCATTAACACAGGCAAAATTATCAAAAAAAACAAAACTGAAAAGGACAAAAATGTCCAAAAGGTCGCACAAGGGTTAATATTAGAGGTACTACTATAAGGAAAGACACATTTTGAGCAAGTAGATCTCTATTAATTCATGTGCATGCATGCTCTCGCTTTATTCATATCAAGATTACCATGCACATGTGAATAGTTTCTCGAGGGCACAAAAAAGTTTCTTGTGTGCATGCAAAAGTCTGTATTTTTTATTATTAGTAGTATATTTTTTTAAGTCTGTGTTCACTTGATCACTTCAAGAATATCAATAAAAACCTGAAAAAATAAAAAATATTTACAGATGACTGTAATATATACCAAATATAAAGCTGAAAACACTTCTGTATGAACTATATACACCACCGCTCAAAAGTGTGGGATCAGTAAGAGTTGTAATGTGTTTTAAAGAAGTCTCTTCTGCACATCAAAGCTGCATTTATTTGATCAAAAATACAGAAAAAAAACAGTAATCTTGCAAAATGTTATTAAAACCCCCCCCCCCCCCCCCAGTTTATTATACAAATACAATATTTGTTAAATGATTATTGTTTAATCTATTTTAACGGTAATGCTTTCAGGCCGATTATGAATGAATGTCATTTGAGCTCAGTCAGTGTTTTCAGTCTGTGTTCAAACTCGTTTTTAAAGAATTTCAGAGCAGCTGTTGCCAGTCGTCCTCACAAAGATTAGCTTATTTTTTTATTATTATTTTCTTTTAAATACATTTTGACTGACGCCGGCGATTACCGCACCTGTTTCCTAATTTGTAGGCCTATTAATTAACAAATAAATAAAAAATCACAAACATGACAAATAATTTTATAGCCTACACTTTTTAGTTATATCTAATTTGGCATTTTCAGTTAATATAGGCCTGTTACATTCTTCTTATTAGCCTATTAGGCCTATTATTAAATTAATATTACAATTCATTTGCCCAGCAATAATTTCATAGCGCATCACCGCATAACTGATGCATAAGATTAGGCTAGCTCATTCCTCATTGAAAATGTTTTTAAAAAGATCTTTCAAAACAAGTTTAATATACAATTAATTATAGGCATATAATTAAAATGATTAACATTGCAATCATCAATGAAAAAGCTTTATTTCAAGCACCGACTTTTTAAAAAAGAAAAAAACAACAACCTGTTTAACACGAAATACGTTTCTTATTTATTTATTTTGATTGTTTTTCCCACTAGCCTATGTTCGGGCCACAAGAGAAATATTAAGGGAGTACATTAAAACATTTAGCTATATACCATTATCAGCAGATGAAGGAGATTCGTCTCTCGTCGTCTCTGAGAGAATATGCACCGTTAATGCAGCGTCAGATGCCGAAAGCGCCGTCAGCTTTTACTTTCACTTTCAGTTTCTAGTGAATCGACTGAGATTAAGAGGTTCACCGCATAACTCTTGCGCAAAGTTTGCGCGTTGCATGTGTGATATCCATTGGCTCACCTTCCTGGTTTAAAACCTGAAACCCCCCCCAAGAAGAGACTCCTGTAAAAAACTTTCAACCGGTAGTGTAAGTTAAATATGTGCCGAAAATCTACTGAGAGGTTTGTAAATGTGAGTCTGGCGAAGTATGGAGCTTTGAAATGGAAAGTGTGTAACCCTCGGACGCTTTGTGTGCAGCATCGCTCTGGGCGGCTTCGGCGCGGACCGCTTCTATCTGGGCCAGTGGAGGGAAGGTCTGGGGAAGCTCTTCAGCTTCGGAGGGCTGGGCATCTGGACGCTGATCGACGTGCTGCTGATCGGTGTGGGATACGTGGGGCCGGCCGACGGCTCTCTCTACATCTGAGGGTCCTGCGACTCCTCCGTCCCAATTCACACGCGTGTGGCGTCCAGACTCCCATCTGCTCCCGATGCCGTCCGAGGAAGACCGTGATGAAGACGCTTTATGGTTTGGAGTCTGAAACCTGTACAATATGTATCTAAACTCATCTGTGTCTGTGTAATATTACTGCTGTATGTGTATATATGAGAGTGATTCTCACGGCTGATTTCTGATTAAAACTCACCTGTTTTCACAGATTCTCGCCTGTGTTTGTCTTTTTATAAAACGGAGAGTTCCGGTCCTTGGTTCTGATTGGCTAAGCCACGTTTGAACCTTTGTTTTCTGCCACACAATAAAAATAGACAAGACACCAACACGTTTTCACCATGTTTTTAGGAATAAAATGTTGTATAAATCAGTGACATCTGAGCAAACCTTCAGAATATAAAAAAGCTGCCAAATTTTGCATTACGTGTCATTAACTGCGTGTACATTTCCGCCATATGGACATCATCTTCAGATAGTCTCCACTGATGAGCTACTACTACATATAATATAGACGCTTTAATTTTCTGTAAAGCTGCTTTGCAATGATTTGCATCGTGAAAAGTGCTATACAAATAAACGTGCATTGGATTGGTGCTTCTGAGCACCGAGTAAAGTCACTAGCAGCACCAGCACTGGTGATGGAAGAGTTAAACTGCTCTAAATATTTGTAGAATGTGAAATCTCCTGCAGAAACATCTTCCATGATCAGTCAGAACAGGACGTTTCGAGACTCTAGCGGCTCTTTCGTTGTGTTAAACACGCAGAATCTCTCTGTCATTGTGAGTGAACGTAAGTGCTGTTCACATTTGCACACACATCGGTGTTTTGAGTTCATCCTGACCTCCGACTGCAGCTTCTGTTCCCACTTTGTGTCCTCCTTTTCAAGCACAAATACCGGCTGTGTTCTGAAACTCCAGTGCATACTGCGTACTGCTTTTAAATAGGAGTACAGTATGTTCAAAACAAGTGCTTAGCAGGGATAGTTCACCCAAAAAACACAAATCTTTTGTTGTTGTTCATACAGTGAGTCAATGGGGATCAGAGTTGTTTGGATCCCAACATTCTTCAAAATATCTTCTTTTAGGTTCCACAAAAGAAAGTTAGTTTTGAACGACATGAATGGGAAGAAGTGATAGAATGATGGTTTTGAGTGAATTAAAACATTCAGTATGTGTTGTACGGTCATCATAAAAATGATAATTTAGGAGTTTTAATCTAGTTCTGTGTCAGAATCAGTGTGGTTTTAGGATCTTTGAGATGCTATAGTTTATTCATATTTTGAATTCGTTTTTATATTAATTTAATTTCAGTTATTTTGTTTTATTTTTAATGTCTACATAGTTTTTATTTTTATTATGAGAAATGTTGCCTTGACAACTAGCTCATATAAAATACGTAGTTTTTTTTATCCAGTTAAAGCATATTTTATTTCAAGTAATGAAAATATACTTTTTTTTTTGTTTTAGTTAAGTATAATATACCTGGTAATAATTAAGTATAGACCAGGGTTATTATAATTAACTAAAACGGAAAATGAATTAAAACCAATTTTAATAAGTGAAATAATAAAACACCTTATACTTATTTTAAATGTAATATATTTTGTAATGTAATAATAACAACTATATAGACATATATAAAAACACAAAATGACTAAAATAATGACACTAATTAAAATTATTTTAGCATTATTATTATTATTATTAATTAAAATGCAAAATAAAAAGGATAAATATAAAAATTTGAAAATTCTAAGTTAGTATCTGAATGATAGTAAAATAACGCTGCATTCAGAGCAGGACTGATAGGGCTTTCTAGACATGTCATGTCAAGCACATTGCATTGTGGGATACAGTGTGCTGCATATTTGGGCAAGTGCAGCAGGACAGTTTGCATGCTGTGCATTCTGCAGAAACAGGAGTGTGCTCGTCTGAGCAGTGCCACTGTATCCTGTGTGTTCAGTTTGTCCTGATCAGCAGATTTTGAGGATATACTGTGGCTTTACGAGAGCAGCAGCTACCAGGTCTGTGGTAATGATCTGCTGTGTGGTTTGTGTTTGTCAGAGCTGTCTTCAGCCACAGAAGCGCACCCACACGATGACGGTCATGCTCTGGCACTCGCTGCAGATCAGCATGCATCTGTTTCTCAGCAAAGCTGCACTTTCTAGAGGAGTTCACAGCGCAGACGACTCCTGGCTCGGTTACTATCGAGGGGACGAGGTGACAAGCAGCACAATTAAGTTTTGATATATTTACGGTAGGAAATTTACTAAATATCTTCATGGAACATGATCTTTACTTAATATCCTAATGATTTTTGGCATAAAAGAGAAATGTATAATTGTGACACATACAATGTATTGTTGGCTATTGCTACAAATATCCCCCAGCGACTTAACACTGCTTTTGTGCTGCAGGGTCACACGTGTTTGACATCTTTTTATATTTCATTACCTCTCTGAAGAGAGAGTTTGGT